CACCTGACCTGTCAGAATGACTATATTCAGTCAACAAGTGTTGGTGATGATGTGAAGAAAAGGGAACCCTTGTGCACTGCTGGTGGGAATGCAGAACGGTGCAGCCACTGTGCAAAACAGTATTAAGTTACCTCAAAAAATTAAAAATAGAACAACCGTCTTATGACTCATGGATTCCACTTTTGGGAATATATCTGAAGAAACCCGAAACACTGATTTGAAAGTATATGCACACCTATGTTCATTGAAGTATTATTTACAATAGCCAAGATTTAAAAGCAGCCGAAGCACCCATCAGTAGATGAGTGGATAAAAAAGCTGTGGTATGTTTATGCAATTGACTACTACTTGGCTGTGAAAAAGAAAGAAATCTTACCTTTGTGACAGTGTGGCTGGACCTGGAGAGTGTTATGTTAAGTGAAGTAAGCCAGCCAGAGAAGGACAAGTACCATATGATTTCACTTATATGTGGAATCTAATGAACAAAATAAGCTAATAAACAAAATAGAAACAGACTCAGATCCCAAAAAAAACAGACTGACAACTGTCAGATGGGAAGGGGGCTTGGGAGCTAGGTGATAAAAATGAAGGGATTAAGCCAACAAACAACACAGACACAAACAACATAGACACAAACAACAGTATGGTGATTGCTAGAGGTAAAGAAGAGTGGGGGAGGTAGGAGAGGGGAAAGGGGGCAAAAATGGTGATGGAAGGAGACTTGACTTGGGATGGTGAACACATAATATACAGATGATGTATTTTAGAATTGCACACCTGAAACCTATATAATTTTATTAACCAATGTCACCCCAATAAATTCAATTTTAAAAAAGAATACTGATCTACTGACCTCTGCCTAGGTTTCCCTGCCAAGTAAACTTATTTTTAGGGGGAAAAAAAGTGGATGCACTTAATTTTTTTAGTTCCCTACTAATGGACACTTAATGGCTATGATTTTTCTCTAAAAATGCACAGATTAATATTTTGTGAATATATATGAGCATATTTTCTTAATCTCATAGAACTGCTTCACATAGGTACAATTCTTGGGTCTAGGTAAACATACATTTTAAATAATATGTATATATTTTGCCCATTCCTTAAAAAAGGGTTCCATCCTTGCCCAAACTGTCTATCATCTGTTCTCTGCCCTGCATTTGTCAGCTGCACATCAGACAATTGACACCTCATCATTTGTAAGACTGTATTTATTGGCTTTCCAGTAAAGAAGACTTTCAATTTTATATATATATATATTTTTGTAAATTTTCATTTATTTTCTTTCATAGTTTTTCTATGGGGACATTGTAGTTTACAAATGGATTATGGGAACTCCATGTTAAAGACATTCCTTTGCTACAATGTACACTGCATTATTTTCTCGATTTTTCCATTTGTCCCCTTAACTCTTTTTAATGATGTTCCATGTTATACAGAAGCTTTTCTTTATTATGAATTTAAAACTCTTCATTTTTTTAATATATTCTGCCTAAAAAATGCAATATGCTTTCCACCACCTAAACATAAATAAAAATATCACCCTATGTCTTTTGTTTGCTTCTTCATTATTTATACTTAAATCTTTGGTCCCAGGAGCACTTAGAGATTCTTTGAAATAAAAATCTAGCTGATTTTCCAAATATTTAATCAATTAGCCAGCACTGTATTTTGACTAACTCTTCTCTCACTGAAAATGCTCTCATTTTAAAGTTCTGTAAAAAGGGAGTCATGTCTAATGTCATCCAGCCAATCTGTGGCAGAGCAGAGTTTGACTGCAAATTCAATGCTTTGATTGTGTAGTGGCAATAAGCATGGTTCTGGAATCAAAGAAAACACACCTGGGATTCAGCCACAGTATGTTACCTGGAGTAAATTACTTCTTCTGCACCTGTTCCTAATCTGTTGCATGAGGAAAAATAATTGTACCTAACTCATCCTACTGTTGTGAGAATGAGAGTCATTATTCAATGTATCCATTCAACAATATTCATTAAAAACATACTATGTAATAGGCATTTTTGTGGTGCCATAATTTTTAGAGGTAAATTATTTTTACTTCGTTGAATTCAAATAATGACCTCTAGTCCTGCTTTTAACATTTAAATCTGCTCCATACTTTCACCACTGATAGAGAAGACACCTGGTAGTTTTGTGGACTCAAAGTATGAAGAGAAAAGCCTGAAAGTGCGTAGGATATATTTAGTCTCCAGCACAGTACCTGACACAGAGCCAGGAGTGGGTAAATTCTGTGAATGAGTGACCAAGCTAAAAAATTCTTGCTCATGCAATTTTCCGTATTAAAAATAGAAAACAAATCACCTATAAACATGGTCTTAGTTTAGTGAAACTAATAACGTTTAAAATACATATTTAGACAGAACAGAGACAAAGGGAGGAATACCCCAATTCCCAGCCTCAAGGAAAAGGCCAGCATATACATAACAAAAGAAGCTGCAATACTCAGACTCACCAAGCCATTTCCACTCATCATCAGGTACTCACCCACAGGAATTCTAACCCTGAATACTTCCAGTTGCTTGATTAATACACAAAACAAGCACATAATCAGGAATCCCAGATCAAGCAAGGAAAAAATTATTCCTAGTGAAACTCTCTGGGCAAACATAATTGACCTTCTTTACTCCCAAATTAAATACAGATTTCTTGGTGTCCAGCCAAGTGCCTGGAGTCAGCACAGCAGGTGATCACAACACAGGCTGGGTCCAGACTAGATTTGATGCCTGGCTCCACTGCTCACGTTATTCATGTTACTTAACCTCCCTGTGCCTCAGTTTCCTCATCCATAAAAGCAGGCATAATAACTGTGTCTAGCACATGGAACTGTTGTGAGAATTAAACAAGTTAATATCTGTGAAGTCCTTGGAACAGTACTGACACCATAGCAAATGCTCTGTAGATACTGCCAAATAAATTAATCCACAACAACACTTCCTTCGTGGAGCCTTCCCTCACCAAGTTGCATTCCTTTTGCATATTTCATAGCACCATCACGCATGTACCCAAGTTTTAATATTACATTAATTTTGCAATAACATGACTATCTTTCCTACCGGACTTCGTAAGCCACAAAAGGCAGAAATATGAATTTATTGGCATCTTTGTGTGTTACTATTATGCATAGAAAACATTATTCAAAGATTCATTTGTTTTTGCTTAATTTGTTAATCTAATAAATTCCCAAACTGTTTTTTTCTTTATGGGTCTTTCTTTAAGCTTTGGTATAATTTACAAACTTAGTTAATTCCTTTAAGAAAACAATCATTGCATCAAATAATTGTGGGGCTCGCCTTCTCAGAATACTGATTTCTTAACAGATGTCAAAGCTAGGTTGTGATTTGATTAGAAACTGTAGCCCTGTCAGTCTCTTGAAGGGATCTTCAATCCTTTTTATACAAATCTTACCTCACGAGGCCATCCTCCTTAGCGCTATTACGTTAATTTATTAGTAACATCTTTCCCTCAGATGTCAAAATGACATCAGATTGAGTATGGAATATCCCCCCTGGCATTGCCTTGCAGGCATAAGATTTAACATCTTCCTACTTAAATATCATTACTCAGGAGATGGTATCACCTGAACCCAGACCAGTGCCTGGCTCATGAATGAGAGAAATGCCACCTCAGAAAGGTGTTAAAAAAATGTTATTCATGAATGCAATCCAGGAACCTCTTTACAGTGCTTTAAAAAAGAAAAGTAAATCCCTTAGAGCTCAAATTTATGTAGTAATCGTGGAAAAAAATTCTTTTAATTGCCTAGAGTCCTCATAACTCCTTGTTAAGCCCTAGCATAACAAGAAGTATAAAACCATGACTAAAATATTTACACTCTACTCCAGTCCCTATAAAAAATGAATCACTCGTTTATTCATCTTGCCTAATGACACGGAAGGGCAAAACATGTACCCAAACAATGAATAATAATGCAGGAGCTCAGACTGTAAAATCAATAGGGTAGATCAGTAGAGCAGCGCTTCGTTTTAATGCTCTGAATGCAATAGAGCTCATCTTCTGAATTATATATATGTATTGACCTGATTACATAAATACTGACTTTGCCTTCTGTGAAGCTTTTTTCAGTCTCACTGTAATTACAATGTCAATATCTGTGGCTGTAGCAACATTAAATTTAAACTTAATTGTGACTGATAGTGGCATGTTATGAGATAATTCAGATAGTCACATGGTCTCAGAACATTGGTGGCACTAGATAATAAGTGATAAGTTAGTGATTCCCTAAGTATATTAAACTTAAGAAAATGATTATTTTATCCTCAATAATTTAGGAGCTAGTCTTCTGTACAGCTTGTCAAGTTTCATAACACACAGAAGTAATAACCAGGATGACTGGATCTTGGTCAATATTGCCCACTTTTGTTTTTTAAATCAAACACTTTATTCCTGACTTTAATCTCCAGGTCACCCTATTAAAAAAGTCTTTGATCTATTGACAAATGTCTACATCTCCATCTCTGAAGTTGTGTGTGTATATAAAGTATATCACTTAATATTAGTTATTATTCTTTGATATATTTCCAATAAGGATCCTGTTAAAAACAGCCTATTTAATTATTTCTCCTTATATTGTTTTATTTTCAAGAGAAAGGCTTTACATAGTTACTACAGTTGTTACATCTTCGGGACAAACAATGATGCCATAGCTCATGACATTTTAATTAAATTTCTTTACTTTTTTGCCAATCAATGACATTAGGGAAATATTCCAAATGCTTTAAGAAACTGGGGGGGGGGTGCATTTCACTCTGCTCTTATATTTCTGAGAACTTGCTCAAGGATCTGGACTCTCCAATTTAAGAAGAGCAGAAGTACCTGTATCACGTTAATCATTTAGAGTTAGGTGAACACAGAGAATGCTATGGATAAACGATGGCGCCCACACTTGGGTTTAAGAGTATTTCTAGACAAATCATGGTAAGGTGGTCATGCATCATCCTGTGTTCTCTCATTTGCCTCTGCAGGGATGCCAGATGAGATGAACCTCAGTGATGTAAAGCAAATCCATCAGACAGATGGCGGTAACACCTTAGACACAACTGGAGCAGGATGTACAGCAGCAACTGAGGCAATGACATTTCCTCTGATGGGTGCGGTGATGTTACTGCCTGGGCTTTGGTAACAGAACCCTTCTGCTCTGATATATATGTCTTATTGAAGTCTGATTTCTCCCCTCTTCATCTGATTGGAATAAGAGATCTTTTTTAATATAACAGCTATATTTATAAAAAGGTATGTAACACTAACCTCTTAGAAAACAAGTTGGAAGGTTCACAAAGTATTTACAAATCATTGTTTAAAGGATAGGCTATTTGAAAACATGTCTCCTTCGAATCTAACTTAAATCATCTTAAATTCTAATGTATTAAACCTGCAAATACAGAAGTGACTTTAATTAAGAAAGATATAGTATATCTGTAATTTTATTATCCTAAATTCCAAACCCCTTTCTTTCTAAAAGAAAAGTATTTCGAATTGAAGATCTATTTGCAGGACAATGAAAACAGTACAGTGTGTTTCTTAAAATACTAGGATTAGGATTTCATTAAAGGAATCAAAATAAATAATGGCAAGTAGTATGCATGCATTTTCAAGAAATTCTTCCATTTTTGTAAGCTATAGAAAGAAACTACTGAACACCTATACATTATAGAGTAGATTGTTGAGGAACATTTCACATAATTTCATTGAAGATTTCTATCCACTGTAACTTAGCCACTGACTAACCTTGAAGCTGAGTATTTCGGTAGCGTCTGATCTGTATTCCATTATATTCAAAATGCAATATTTGGTATTGTGGCTCTGTTCCCACCTCTCTTTGACTATTGGATTTAGCTGTCTTACAAAGCACATCCCTACTCTAGGAATATCTCTAATAAAGCTGTTAATTATCTGGTGGAAAACTTTAAAGATTACTGATCATTTTCTTCTGGCAAAATGATATATCCTTCTATTTTCAAAATATTATTTGCTGTTTCTTTTTAAATCTTGATATTGAACAATTAACTATCTATATACATTTTTAAGGTTCTTATAAATATCTAAAGACATGTACTAATACAGAGAAGAGGGCATGCAACATTTTTGCTCTTTTCCTCTTTGCACATTAGCAGAACTGCTAATCCACAGTCCCTGATTTCCCAGCCATGATAAGATGCTTCAGTAGACACCTATTAGGTTATGTCTATTGCTGCACTTAAGGAGGAAGAGATATGTCAGCTTTTATTAAGAAGCATTACATGTAGTTGATAGCCAAAAAGTATTAACACAAAGTGACAGAAGTGCTGAACCCATAAAATAAAATTTAAAAATCAAAGGAATTTGAAATGACCTCTGAGAAAGAGTTGGTAAGGATTCTACTGACAGCCAATATTTGTAAGGTGAGATCATTCTCTCCAAATCATGAAAACAGTATATGATCAAACCGTGTTCTCTCTTAGAGTCTCAATTAACCAAATGATCTGACAATGGTGAATTTAAACCACAATTTGTTCAAACTGCCAAATCAGATTTTACTCTCTGTTCAATGTTTCAGAGCTGGAAGTGTTTCCCTATCTGCCAAATCTGGAGGTTATTTTCCTAGTTTTCTGTTCCAGATCTTACTATTTATTCCATGATCTACCTGGTGTATAACTCATTTGCTGATCACCACACTCTACAAATTATAACGTAAACATATATTTTTTTAATTTTTATTTCAACCTCAGCTCATCATGTAAATAACTCTGAAACAAGTAACACCCATTCATTCCCTGCACTCCAGCCCAAGTTATAGTTGATTTGCTCTGACAAAACTGCTGACCCAACCTTAGAAGAATTTGGAAGACAAAAAAACTAAAGGGCATGATTTAGCTATCTAAGATGTTTCTGGATAAAATTAGTTCATAGGACATAATTTTAGCTATGGCAGAAAATGGATAAGTACAAGGTACATAGTGTGGATGGGGAGATGCAAGATTGTGGTATACTATGTAGGTGTTACACTCACCTCCTCCCAGGATCAAACAGGATACAATCAAAATATAGAGCAATCAACCTGAATAACCAACTGAAGACTAGAAGAATAGGAGTCTTATAGCCAAGGATTTAGAGAAAAAGAAACACATCAAGACTAGTAGGAAGGGTGAAGACATGAAAATGACTGGCCCCACTCCCATGGGTGGCAGCTGAGATTTGGAGGGATATCTCAGCTCTGGGCATTCCCCCTGAGAAGCCTGGGGTCTCAGCCCATGCTGGGCTCCCCAACACAGATCACCAGAGCTTGGAAGAGGCTCCCACATAACATCTTCCTGTGAAAATCAGTGGGGATTCTGTCTTCCAGGGAGATACAGGAGTCTGCTAGAGACATAGATGCCCTCCTAAAGGGCCAATGCACATTTTCTCCTTTGCAGCCACTCACCCTGGGCTCCAACAAAGGGACGGCAGAGTGGACTGGTCATGTGAGGAAAGTCTGGGTTTTGTGGCTGTGGAGAAACAGCTAAGAAGAGTCACTGGGACCCTTGTCCTGAGTCATTCTCCTGCCTGACAAACACTATTTTTTTAAGAGCAGCATTCCCCTTTTTATGGCATCAACTTGAGGAAATGAATAGCCCCACCTGCTGGATTCCCTGTTGCCCCACCCTGTGGAGCTCAAGCCCTGCTGAGTTGTCAGCTGCCTGGATTGGGATATAGAGATTTAGGCAGTCTCGGGGAGGATCAGTGACTGAGTGGTGTGGATTTGGGGGAGGGGCTATTCTCCCCAATTTCCCATAAACCTGACTGGTGCCTCCCTTTGTTCAGGATGTGGAGAAGAGGGAACCCTTGTATACTGTTGGTGGGGCTGCAGATTGGCACAGCCACTATGCAAAGCAGTATGGAGTTATCTCAGATAATTAAAAATGTAACTGCCCAGCGATTTCTGGGAATATATCTAAAGAATCCTGAAACACTGATTTGAAAGAATATATGCATCCCTATGTTCATCAGAGTGTTATGTACGATAACCAAGATTTGGAAGCAGCCTAAGTACCCATCAGTAGATAAGCAGATAAAAATGCTGTGGTACAATTTACACAATGAAAAACTACTTGGTCATAAAAAGGAAGGAAATCTTACCTTTTGTGACAGCATGGATGGACCTGGAGAGTAGTACACTAGACAAAATATGCCAGTAAGAGAAATATAAATACCACATGACTTCACTTATATGTGGACACTAATGAACAAAATAAACTAAGAAATGGACACATGGATACAGAGAACAGACTAACAGCTATCAGAGGGGAGAGGCGGGGGGGCTGGGTAAAAATGGTGATGGGATTAAGAAAAAACCCCAAGAACTCATAGATACACAAATGCATGGTGATTCCCAGAGGGACATGGGGGTAGGGGCAGGTAGAAGAGGGTAAAGGGGCGATAAATGGTGAAGAGAGACTTGACTTTGGGTGGTGAACACACAACACAATATACACATGATTCATTATAAACTGTACACCTGAAACCTATATAATTTTATTAACCAATGTCACCCAAATAAGTTGAATAAAAATTAAAAGAAAAAATAGTATGAATGAATTTTTTTTTTACCAACTAAGTTTTACATACTCAAATGTGTGTGTCCACCTCCAGGTAGGCAGCTTGGAGACTATATATATCACAATGAAGCAACCAGAGCTCTAAACACTTGGACGTTTTCTGAATTGTTTTTTAAGTGGGAGGCATAATTTTTAAAAATCTCAATAAGGTTATTCATCCTTTAACTCACTCTGTAACATTTTACATTTGTATAGCTCTTTACAATTTACAAAGCTCTTTCAAATGAGATGGAATATTTCATTTGACCTTCCTCACCAAAGGATGGGCTTGATTTTTAGTCAAATAAAAAACAATGAAACTGTTTTGTTTTGTTTTAAATATGACTCAATTTGCTTTGAAGAGTTTTTCTTAAGTAAAACCTACAAAGTTTTTGAGCAATGGTACAGTTGTTAGAAGGCATGTCTACTTTCCAAGATGACTTAAAGCAGGGGTGGGGAATATCTGGCTCCTGGGCCATATCCAGCCAGTGAAATAATTTGGTCTCTTCTTGCCAAGGCAACCACAGGCAGGACTCAAAATTCAATAAATTCAATTAAATGTTTGACCAAATACAGCAGGCTAATTTTTAAGTTGATAATTTTGTATGGCCTGAGAATGATGTTATAAATATCTAAATGGCCCTTGGCAGAGAAAAGGTTCCCCACCCCTCACTTAAAAGCTAACATTCAAGTGAATGTATATATTTTAAAATATCACATCTTTATAGTCACATCTTATGCTGGGATCATTTAAATGAAGTCATATCCTTGAATTTCTGAGTTATTTTTATATAAATTTAAGTGATCATGAAACAATCCAGCATTTTGTATATATTAGACAAGAAAAGTTAACAATCTGAGCGAACATTTACTTGGCCCTCTTCTCTACAGACATCATAATAAATGCCTTTGTGCATAATCTACTTTAGTCTCCTCAGTAACATCATTTCTGTTTTGCCAATGAAGAAACTAAGCCTTAAAAATATTGTGCTATTTGTCTGGTATCATACAACTAGTCATAGCACAATCAGTCAGGTGAGTGTAATGTTTAAATAAACTGTATATATTCTTGGTTCAAAGGTATGATTGTTGTGGAACAGCAGTAAAAGTCATGAGGTTAGAATAAAAATCATTTAGAGGTAATTTAAGTCTCAAACTAGGATTTAAAAACAAATACAATTGACTGGGTAATTGTATTAATTATCAAATCACATATTAGCGTAAAAGCATAATGAAAAGGAGAAATGTAAATATAAATTTTTTAGTAGCAACCTGTACCTTCTCACATGTGTAAATCCCATTCAAACACATAGCCCCAAAATAAATAAGCTACCAAAAATGAAACACACAACTTTTATAAGTATCATGAATTGACTGTTTTCTGTGCAACTAAAGGGTATAAAATGTTTCTTTGGCTATAAGATAGGAGATGACATAAAAAAAATAATAAATGAAGGAAGGGAGGGAAGGGGGAAGAAAGGGGATGTGGCAGAATAGTGTTTTAAGTCTTACATTTGCCTTTTTACCCTCTATTTGTTCAGGAACATATTTTCAATAAAATGTCTACAGTGTTCTCATTAAAAGACAGAAGTTAATAAGCCACTTCCTCCCAAACACTCAGATCTTCTGAAGTGCTCAGTAATGACACTTTGAAAAGGACTTAATTAGTTTATTGCTAATTGTTTTCAATCACATAAATATTGTTTTTTTCATCAGAATTCTTCAGGTGCAGTAACAATTGTTTCTTCTTGAGTAAATGAATCCAACCTAGACTTCCATTATCCTATGACATTCACTGAGTAGTCTTCAGGTTACAAACTTTGGTACACAATTACATAGGTTATATGAAAATTCAGACATAATGTTTTAATTTTGTCAGGTATGACTCTGGGAATATTAAGATTTTCCTTAAATGCAGATTGTTGTATATAAATCATTTCTGATTTAAATTGCAATAAATCATATTTCTCGAGTTGAAAGTCTACTTTTGTTTTTGCTGGAATTACATGGTTACTGAATTGTTATTATATTGTCATTATTTTATAGCTATTTAATCAAATATGGCTCTTTACCCTCTCTGCATTCATGTGCAAAAAAAAAAAAAAAACCTGAAGAATTTTATCATAATATAATTTATATTTTCAGAGCAACAATAGTAAGTTATTTGAAACAGAGTCAGGTAGAGATGAATGTTTTCAGATACATTTTCAAACACCTGATTCAAGAGTCTTTCACCTTTCTCAACTTGTCAACTATCCCATTGGAATCATCTTTACCAAGAGTTCATGAGAAGATCACACGTCCTCTCTTCCCCCCAAATTTTTGAGTACCAGAAAGAACAGAGGGAAAGAGATGGGA